AGGAATATTTTCATCATTGTAATTCATTGTCATTTCTTAACATTTGTAACCTTGACCTTGGAGAGGACTTATATAGGCCATGCCTGATGTCCAATCCAATTATGTAAGCTTACTTTACATAATAAAATATTGTTTAAATTAAATTAAATCTAATTCATTTCAAAACTTAAGCTAGTCAGCAAGAGCTATTTTAATCAAACAGGTTTACCCATTTGCCCAATTCTCAAGGGATATCATAAGATAACGCCAATGCTTTGTCAGTTAACTGCTGCACTCAATACCCATTAATTTCTCTCTAATTATGTTCCCCAAACGGAGTTTGGGAACATATTGTTTTTACTCTGTTTCTTATTATGTTCCCCAAACGAAGTTGGGGAACATATTGTTTTTACTCTGTTTCTTATTATTATTATTATTTTTCTTCTCGGGAAAATTTTGTCCGCGAATGATCTTGTAAACTACACATCCGATTTAGGTGAAATGTTTTTAGGGTCAGTAGACATGTTATGTAGATTTGCGGAACGAAGGTCATTTTGCGCGCACGTGCTTGCAAGAGCGTGCACGTGCAACACGTGAAATGATCGATTTAATTGATTTAGGCGTAACTTTTTACATTTTTGATGAAATGCTTTAAAACTCATAATATAAGGATATATTAGTAGCATAGACAATATCACATGATCAAAATAGCAAGATCTCACGCGCATGCACGTGCGCTTCGCTCTGATTGGCTGAAATTAAAGTCTCAATATCTTTCTTGTTTTCCGACAAAATCCTTTGAAATTTTGAACATAGCCATGCATTAGGATATCCTACAACATAATATATAGCAATTATCATAAAACACGTGCATGCACGTGCGCTGCAATCTGATTGGCTGAAACTTTAAATTGCTATAACTCCCTTGGTTTACAACCAAACGGGATGGGATTTGGAACATAGATACATATAATAGACTTCTACAAGAAGGTATGGTCACCATGCACATGCATGCACGTGCGTGTACATGCGCTGCAATCTGATTGGCTTAAATTTTAAACAGCTATAACTCCCTTGGTATACAACCAAACGGGGTGGGATTTAGAACATAGATAGATATAATGGACTTCTACCAGAAGGTATAGTCGCCATGCTCATGTGTGCACGTGCGTGCACGTGAAAAGAGTAAAATAAAAAATACACTTGAATGAGCGTATTTTTTAATACTTTTGGATTAAATACTTTAATATTTAGTATATCAAAATATATAGATTGTGTAGACAAAATGATATGGTCATTACGCACATGCATTCACATGCGCAAGCGTGCAATGCTTAAATTTGAATGAACTTGGTACACTTCTGGGTAAACGTTGTTAAAGTCTTAAATGCATAGAGTTTGTCCTATTTAATGAAGCCTCCAGGGAATATGGCACCAAAAGGGAGTTGGGGAGCGTTTGGGGAACATCTGTAACGGTCCCCGTTACAATTAGCACTAGTTATTATTATTTTTTTTCTTATTTGTTCTCCGGTACTTTTTTGTCCGCGAGTGTTCTCAGAAACTGTTCACCAAACTGACCTAAAACCTTTTTAGGGTTAATAGGTGTGTAGTGTAGGTGTGCGGAACGAAGGTCATTTTGCGCGCATACGCCTGCACGTGCGTGCGCGTGAAATGAGTGAATTGACTGATATACTTAATATAGCTATAACTTTTACATTTTTTGATGAAATGCTTTGAAACTCATTGCATAAGGATATATTAATAGTGTTAATAATATGACACTTTCAAATTAGCACGAACTCACGCGCATGCACGTGCGCCTTGCTCTGATTGGCTGAAACAAAAATCTCATTATCTCTTTTGTTTTCCGATGAAATGCTTTGAAATTTTTAACATTTTCATGAATAAGTATATCCTACAATATAATATGGAAAATTTTCATGAAATCACGCGCATGCACGTGCGCTGCAATCTGATTGGCTGAAACTTTAAATGGCTATATCTCCTTTGTTTTTTGACGAAATGCTTTGAAATTTAAAACATAGTCATGCATTAGGACATCCTGCAATTTGATATACAAAAAATGCAAGAAATCACGCGCATGCACGTGTGCTGCAATCTGATTGGCTGAAACTTTAAATGGCTATATCTCCTTTGATTTTTGATGAAATGTTTTGAAATTTAAAACATACTCATGCATTAGGATATTCTACAATATGATTTAGAAAAAAATTCTTGAAATCACGTGGATGCACGTGTGCTGCAATCTGATTGGCTGAAACTTTAAATGGCTATATCTCCTTTGATTTTTGATGAAATGCTTTGAAATTTAAAACATAGTCATGCATTAGGATATTCTACAATATGATTTAGAAAAAATTCTTGAAATTACGCGGATGCACGTGTGTTGCAATCTGATTGGCTGAAACTTGAAATGGCTATAATTCCTTTGGTTTTCAACCAAACAGGGTGGGATTTAGAACATATATAGATATAAGGGCCTCTAACAAGAAGGTATGGTCATCATACACTTGCACGCACGTGCGTGCATTTGGAACGAGTGAAATTAAAAATACACTTGAATGAGTGATTTTTAATACTTTTGGACTAAATACTTTAATAAAAAGTATATTTAAATATATAGAAAGTGTAGACAAGATTATATGATCATTGTGCACGTGCATTTACATGGGCACGCGTGCAATGTTAAAATTTGAATATAATTGGTATCCTTTTGGGAAAACGTTGTTAAAGACAAAAATGTACAGATGCTGTCTTATTAAATAAGGCTTACAGGGAATATGGCACCAAAAGGGAGTTTGGGAGCGTTTGGGGAACATCTGTAACGGTTCCCGTTACAATTAGCACTAGTTTGACATGCAATTTTCTGTTATCAAAATTCTTCTTGACCAGTGCCTGATACTTACACTCATGGGAGACATGGGATTTCTCTAACATACATTATATTTGTTTTAGATTGCTGTCAAATATATGCTTTAAAAAAAATAAGTATTTTCTTGATTTAACACTTTAATATAAGAACAGTGCAATACTTTACATTATTTGGGATGTGTAAATGAATAGTAAAAAGACACATTTTTTTTTTAATTCACTTAAATTAAAGGTCACAGTGACCTTGAAATAGGTCGCGACACATCTTCTACCTAAGATGCATAAACTGGCCAAGTTTGATGATTGTATGTCTTATGGTTTTCTAGTTATGGGCCGGAAAGGATTTTTCCATATTTGGCTATAACTTCTTAATAAAAGGTCAGTGCGACCTACTTTTTGTGTGCGACACACATTGTACCCAAGATGCATCAGATGACAAAGTTTGATAATCCTAGGCCTAGTAGTATTAAAGTTATTATCCGGAAACGAAAAAGCTAACAGACAGACGGACGGACACGAAGCCTATAACATAAATACGTCCCGTCTTAAGACGGGCGTATAAAAATAAAGAAACTGAGGTTTGAATGCATATTATAGGTAATTTTATAGCTAAAATATTTTATGGGTGCATTTGGAGGGAATTGGTGGCCTTGTATATTTTATTGAAATATGAAACTTTAGTGTCACTACTACTGTATATGGGATATGGACTAGAAATACGAAACTGGGCTCAACTGGGCTCAAATCTCGCTCTACCGGTATTTCACCAGAAAAGCGGGGTGGGTTAACAAGATGAATTGTAGCTTAAAACGAGGCGGTTGAGCCATTATCTCTTGCTTTTCATTGATATGTACACATGTTATTGCTAGCGCTCTCGAACGCTAGCAACTACGTTAGTCCAAATTCCTTGAATACGCATGCTCGGCCGCCATGATGGTGCATTCTGTGAAAACTGTGAGATCTACTGCAGATAGACCGTACGATAACAATTTCGTTGAATCACGTTATTTTTTGTGTAGCTTACACTTTAAAGATAACTTCATATTTATAATATTTCAAATTCTGGGGGTTTTTTTGCTGAAGGAAAAGCCCGAGTCATTATCTAATTGTTCTAAACAATGACAGGGAGTTTTTTTTTTTTACATCTAAGCACAACCAAAGATAGATTCTAATTTCTGATTGGTCAATTCAGCCAATCTTACAAATTACAGAAACAGAAGCAAGAATTTACACTAAAAACAACGAATAAATCCACTATATTTGTATTAAAAATTCTGATTTGTATGGCTTTTAACCTAACACATTTCTTGACAAAGATGACCGACAGGATCAAGCTATTTCACATGCGTTCCAAACTCTCTGGACTCTTTACACAATATAATGTACTTTGAGTTATTTTCTATATTCCTTTCAACTCCTATGTATTTTCTTTGCTAAATTGCAAAGAAATTCTCTTCTTTAAATCAGCTCATACATGTAATATCTCAATCGGCATCCTCTTCATATTATAGAGACCCCCCCTCCCTCTCCAGTAAGGTCATATATGTTCCGTTGGGCCAAAACTCCAATAGGTCACCACCCCCTTGTTTCTTTACCTATGTGTCTATAAAATACGCTTTACAAAACAATAATAACTTGACACTTTCCAGCCTCGATAAAATTAAGAATTCTGCAAAATAAATCACTTGATCACAGATCTTCCTTTCTATGTTTAAAAATTGCTACGGCGCTAGCTCACCTATCTTTTTAAAAGATAAACGTGTTCTGCAATTTGTTTGGTAGCTTAGGCCAGGCGCACGGACTGGAAGCAGATGCGGCGAAATAGTAGAAATAGGCTTGATTCACATGAAATTTTGAGAATGTCCCTGTGCCATCTTTAGGGCTCATTGTGTTAGTTGTACATGTTTTACTCCAAAGGCTGTTTAAAGTTAATTCTACGTTTAACGTCACATCTAAAGTTCAAAACCTACGAGGGAGGGAGGAAAAAAATAAACAAACAAAATTTTCAAACAATTGTGAATTTATTTAAATTAACCTTTTCAGTACATTAAAAACATTACAATTAAGTAATAAGAGCATTTAATTGATATGACACCTAAGATTAATTTCCCTTGCAGAGTTTTTCCTTAGTATGTAAATCAGTTTGAGTCCTGTTGTTAGCAAACAATGTAGTCTAAGACTGAATGTGCAGGAAAGTGGCTTTTAACTAGGCCTCAGTTGTCCTTTGGATTTATATTGCCACACGTCCATGGTACCCTGGAGGCAAATGCTTCTTCTTGTGGGAAAAGTTGATCAATATCTACAGTCAAAATTATTGATGACAATATTTAAAAGTGTTCATGTTGAAATATCCTCAAATTGAATTATGTCGTATTTTTTCTTAGTACTAGATCTACTAGCATTAAGTTTTGAAAGCGTGAATACTAATATTTTGACCATACTGATAGCTGTTAAATTATATTTATTAAAATTAATACCTTGAATTCCACACAAAAGACAGGATTCTTCACATCTTGGAATACCCCAACCACTTTCCTTACTCTCCTTCACTTGAAAGGCCCTATCTTCGGTAAGCTTCTCCCTGCTCAAATGGTTATGACAAGTATATTATCTTTCCCAAAAATTGTAGCTATTTGTAGGTACATAAATTATGAAGAAATCAATTACTTTACTCATTACTGTTCCTTTCGATTTTTACAGAAATATTTTTAATATGAAACATATTAGTAAGATTTAAATGATGCTTTTCACTGTATATAAATCTTGGTTTTTGACACAGTTTCCACTCAGTAAGAAAAGTTTTTCGATTCTCTCCAAAATACAATGATAAGTTCAGCCAACAGAATCACGAACTGAGAGTCTGTCACTGTCAGTCTGCACATATGATTCGAAGACTGACAAAAAAATCAACAAACAAGACTTTGTCATTAATATAATCATAAAATAATTTATTTTTTACTTACATTTATGGTCCCAAAGTCTTTAATTCTCTAGTTTTCTTTAATAAGACACCAACTGCCTTTACTGCGGCTTTCAAAGCACATTTTCTGTCAATACGGGAAGCAGAATTCAGTCGCTAATTGAAGAACCAAACCGGAACGGACATGCGGAATTCCGAATTGTTTGTTTTTTTCAAAGACGAATTTCTCATAAACCTACGCGCGCGGGTGACGTTAAACGTAGTTTTAATTTTAAACAGCCTAAAAGCTTAAAATTTCTCATTTCATATCATACTATTATTACATGTAGAGGGGATTTAAAATTATATTTCAATGCACATTTTTAAAGCAGCTCAATATTAAGTGAACCGTCAGTCAAACGTTTTGATTGCAAAATAAACCGATCCTCTGCCACCTATTACAAAACACATCGTACACGACAACTATATTTCTAAGTTAAGTACGAAAATATGAGGAACGACTTAAAACACAATGAGTACACAAGAATAAGATAACTCGTACCAGTAGAGCCGGAAACCAATTGTATGACAACTAGGCCTATCTAAGTTTAATACGAAAATATATTGAACGACTTAAAACAAAACAGGAACACAAGAATAAGATAGCTCGTACCAAATATTAATTCTGGTCTTTGTTCAATTAAAATCATTATAATTTAATTTTGATTATATTCTAGTCTCTCATTGGTTGATTTCCAAAAAGGAACACAAGAATAAAACGTAATAACCTGGTTTGGTATGGGGACACACCCCCTTGACAACCAGCTGATTCATCTGTATAGATCTATGCAATCCCACATTTCCAGTTCATGGAATTACATGGAAAATTCTACATTTAATAAATGTACTTTTAACTTCAAACAGTAGCTCGCTCTTACCTCTTGTAAACAAACATCATATGGCTGCTAGATCTGTGTATAGGTTATTACGTCCCCTTGTTTCAAATCACTTCCGTTACTAGGGATGTATTATTGAGCGGCAAATTTGAACTCATAAAAAGCAGCACAATTTTACATCCACAGCTGTTTCATTATTTGAAAATTAAATTATAAGGAATGACTCTAATTCTTTGCATTGAGTATAACCTGGTTTGGGTCAGTTTACGCTTTTTTATAAAGCG